TATTCAGGGCAGCACCTTCCCTTCCTTGCTTGACCCAAAGCCCAACCTTGGGGGTTCCCAGAGGCACAGGCAGAACCCAGCCAGGAGAACTGAAATGCAGGTTCCCAGTGCTCTCCCCCCAGAAAAACTCCAGACACTTCTCAGAACGAAAATGGGACTCTGCATCTCCATCCCAGACCTGGGATCAACCACACTGGGAATTACAGAACCGCTGGGGCTGGAAAAGACCTCAAAGGTCATCGGGTCCAACATTACCCCAGCACTGCCACGTTCACCACTAAACCACGTTCCTGAGCACCACATCGACATGTTTTTTGAGCACTTCCATGGGCAGTGATTCCACCACTTCTCTGGATGGTGATTCCACCCCTTCCCTGTTCCCATGCTTGAGCACCCTTTCAGTGATGGCATTTTTCCTGATGGGTTAATGGTCAGTCTTGACGATCTGAGAGGTCATTTCCAACCTTAATGATCATTTCCAGCCTTGCTGCACTTCAAAGCAACGAGAGATGGGAGCCAGAACTGCCTCTCCTCTTGTGGTCTGACCATCTCTAGCGATTTAGGTAATGATGGTTTGTAATTGCAACCAATAAACAAGTGAAAAAAATTCATAATGATCGGGCTGTGGTGAGTCCTGGGTCAAACCTGCAGCTTTAGTGCCCAGCTCTGTGTATCCCTCAACTAACCCCCTTCCCATGGAGCTGCACCGAGGGCTCTCAACCACTCCGAGGGCTGGGCTGGGTCTTCATGAGTCGTCTGAGGTGGGTGTCTCATCCCCCATTTCGCCTCCTTGTCCACCCACCTTCTGGTGGGAACACGTCCCCTGGCTTCTTATCCCAAGGACTGGAATATTTTCTGGACCTCAGTGACCCTCCTGCAAAATCCTCTTATCATCCCACCACATCAAAGCCAAAGTTTTGGGAGGGTCTCCTCCCCAAGCAAAGCAAACCCTTGGAGACTCACCCCTGTCCGTGCACAGGGCGAGGACGAGCGCGGCGAGGAGGAGGAGAGGAGCCTTCATCCTTTCCAGGTTCTTGCCAGCTCCCAAAATAAGCAGGACTCGGTCAGGGCAGGTTTTATACCTCTGGAGTGTTTGCTTTGATCTCGAGATAATAACCACGGGGTTGCTGTGTCAGAGGAGGGATAATTGGGAGCAACGTGTCGGGGCTTGCGTGTCCAAGGACTCTTTGTTGGAAGTCTAAGAGGGGGTGTGTTCTCCCCCCCAACTTCTTTTCCTCCTCGTTTCACAACTCAACTGCTTCATCCTGTGTGAACTCTGAGACAGTTTCTAATTTTGGGGAAGTGGAGGAAAAGCAAAGGACACAAAAAAACCAAAACAACGAGGAGAGAAAGGTTCTCCTTTCTGGGCCTCCCAGGGCTGAATCCCTTTAAAGATCCCTCTAAATCCAACCCCCTGGCATGGGTTGGATTTAAATTTCAAATGGAATTTGGGATTGAAGCTTCTACAAAATGTCTCCCAGGACTGGCAACAGCACTAGAGCAGCAGAGCAGAATCCTTCCACTGCCTTTCATAGGGGACCAGGCATAGTTTTCTGTCTCTTTTTTAAGGCAGCAGTTCAAAAAATCACAAATGTTTCTGCTAAAAAAAAAAAAAAAAAAAAAAAAAAGTGAATATTTTATATGAGAAGAAAATGTTATCTTGTTACAAAATAAATTCCACTGGGCAATGAAAACGACCCCTTAAATTAAAAACCAGACATGACACCCACTCCCACAGCATCCAACAAGCTGTGCCGTTTTTTTTTTTTTTTTTTTCACAAATTCCAAAAAAATAAATGTCAGGGAGAAAAACACCAACCAATTAAAGCAGGGAGAACGAGGGGTTGGCTGATCAAGGATCTCAACTCATTAAGTTTTCAGAGGAAAAAAAAAACAAACCAGCCAAAATTCTGTGAAATGCCAACAAGAATATTCCATTGGATTTCCATGTTGTGCTCTTTATTCCTTTTTTTTTTTAATCATGTTTCATCCTGTCTCCCTGTATAAAATCAGAATTTTTCCCCATCTTCTTCGGGTTGTTGTTGTTGTTTTTCCCTCCTGCCGTTGTTTTCCTGCCATCTCCTCACGGGGACAGAGACACAATCCCAGAAAAGCTCCTTCCACGTGACACCTGGAGCTGCAGGAGCTGCCCCAAAGCCTCTGCCAGTGACTCTGCCCCTTGCTGCTCCCCATCTGCCTTATTTCCCTTTTTTTCCTCATCTCCAAATTCCTCAGATTTCCGTCTCCCAGTAAATATTTTGGCCTTCTGACGTGACCCACCTCCAGCCATTGTCTCACCCAAAAGCCACCCCGGGGTTCTTGGGGTGATGTAAGACTTTCCATCACCTCTAAATCGGGCTTATAAACACTGTTCACGTGACTGAGGTGAGGAAATTTCTGCTTTCTCAACAGGGAGAGCATGAAACTCAGTTGGAACAGAGGTGGCAATTAAGCCAAAAGGCTCCAAGGAGGGGCGTGTTTGGCTTCGTCAGCCTTCCAAAGGCACCAGGAGGGAGGAAAATAGGAGCTGGCACCTTCCTTGCCAGTGAAACCCTCTCTTGCTTGTGAAATATTTGATTTTCCCCAGGCCAGGAGAGATTTGATTGGTAAATCAGCTTTTTTTAGTGATTATCTGGGGGGGGGGGGGGGGTGATGCCCCTCAGCAGAGGGAACGTTGAGTTGCAGAGCAGAGCCAGCCCACATTCCCAGTTATCTCAGCCAACAGCATCCCCTCGCAGGTACAGAAATAGCAGCTCAACCAGGCACTTGTTTTTGATTCCCTCCCCCTGTAATCTCAGCCAAGCCAAAACCTAAAATATCTCCTGTCTCCTGCAAGCTGCTGAGATTTTGAGAAGGCAGGGCCCGAGTTCTTAAAGGCTTTAGAGCAGGATTTTCCAGTAGATGATCCTGGAATCTTCCAGCTGGTCCCTTATGTCCTTCTTAATGTTGTCTTTGTCCCTCACCAGAAATCAAAAAAAAAACAAACCATGAGCGCAGAAAGATGATTTTTTTTCAGGACACAAGAAGGCAAAGGTAATATCAGAGTTTACAAGAATTTGGGAGTTATGAACTTCATAAAGGCTTCGGAATGAGTAACAGGGGATTTAACTGGAGGTGGAGGTGGAAGGTGAGGTGGAAAGACTTATTTCCCTTGACACAGTTGCTGAGGGGAGAAGGAAAAGTGTTTTGCTTGTCTCGTTCTAAACCTGGTTGAAACTCATGTGAGGAGGATGAACAGTTGCTTTATTTTAGGGAGGGAAAAGCAGTTTTCTCGAAACAAAAGCTGGTCAAATGTAACTGTAAATGTATGTAAATGTAAGTGTGAAACTCAGATGTCGTTGCTAAATGTGGAATTTCAAGTCGGCCAAAAGCTTTGAGAAGAGTTTCAGAAATTGCTGTGATTAAAATGCGGGAAAAGCCGTTGGAAAAGTGGTTAAAAAAGTGCAAAGGCCCAAGTTTCTGTTGGTCCCTCAGCACAGAAATGCTACAACACCACTATCCTCTAGTTAGAACATTTAAATAAATGCCAGAACACCCTCCTTGACCAGAAATTAAATCTTTATGGGATGATTAAACCTAATCCCATTTTCACAGCCTTTGGACAGAACTGTGGTTTCTTCCTGTTGCACAGAAACACCTGGATTTTGCCGTTCTGGTGGAGCAGGATTCCTTTCAAATCCAGCACAGGATTCCTTTCAAATCCAGTGCAGGATTCCCCTCAAATCCAGTGCATGATTCCACTCAAATGCACAGCAGGATTCCCCTCAAATCCAGCACAGGATTCCCTCAAATCCAGCACAGGATTCCCCTCAAAAACAGTGCAGGATTCCCCTCAAATCCAGTGCAGGATTCCCTTGAATCCAGCACAGGATTCCCTTGAATCCAGCACAGGATTCCCTTGAATCCAGCACAGGCTTCCTTCAAATTCAGCACAAGATTCCCTCAAATCCAGCACAAGATTCCCTCAAATCCAGCACAAGATTCCCTCAAATCCAGCACAAGATTCCCTCAAATCTAGCACAGGATTCCCCTCAAAACCAGCACAGACTTCCCCTCAAATCCAGCACAGGATTCCCCTCAAATCCAGCACAGGGTTCTGCACAAATCCAGTATGGGATTCCCCTCAAATCCAGAGCAGGATTCCCCTCAAATCCGACACAGGATTCCCCTCAAACCCAGCTGGGCAGCAAACATGAGGGATTTTTTCCAGGTGCCATTATACAAACCCTCCCAAAATCCAGTGCTGAAGTTTTAAGCTGCTCAGCTGGGAATTCCACACTCTCCAGCTCCACAATTATGTGTATTTTCCCCTTTAATTATAGTTTCACTCTTCCAGGAGCAGGAGGGAATCTCAACCCCAAGAGTTGCCGGGGATGTCCAACCCAAGAGCTCCAGAGGATCCCAATCTCATCTCCTCCATCCCCAAGCCTGGAAATGCAGCAGTGACTGGAAAGGGAAGGAGAGACCTCCCCACCAGCCCAGACACCCATCACCTTTCCCAGACTCATCCTGTCTGTTTTCCCACTGGGAAATCGTGACCAATCCCTCAGCAATATCTTCTCCAAGCAGGCACAGAGATCTCCTTCCCAGGAGGACGCTTTCCAGCAGCACTGTCCTCATCTTGGACATCTCCAGCATCTCCAGGTGGGACTTTTCCTTGTTTGAAAAGCTGAGACCACCCACCTTGCAGAGACCACGGGAGAACTTTGCAGGATCGCAATTCCTGCCAAACCCCGGCCGTGTGTCCCAGCGGCTACAAGTGGGAATTCCCAGTTGGCAGTGGGAGCAACACAAACATCTCTGACCTTCCCAGACCGACACCTCTGCTCCGAGCCATCGGAGTATTTCGCTTTATGGAATGTCTGGATGCAACCGAGTCAGCTGGGAAAGGCAACCAGGAGAAGACTCGGAAGTGCAGAATTCAACGGGAAGCGGAGATTCCGAGAACAACCCCTCGCTGGCAGAGCTGTTGTCTCAGGCTGGATTGAACAAAGACACTCTAGAATAACATAAATCTTTATTTTTGCCTGACCATCGTCACATGCTGTGCTATCAAAAGAGCTTTTCCAGGGAAAATTAGTATAAAACGAGGAGGGGGAAACCGGGAGCTGCACTGCCACATCGGGAATGGGATCTGTCTGGGATAAGAACAAGGCAGCACAGACCCTGTTGGAACCATTTGACAGAGGAGCATGGTTTCTCACTCGGGGGATACCTTGTGGGTTCTCGGGTTGTCCCATCTCATCCCACCCCTCCTCACAATCCTGCCCTGATGACCCAGCCCAGACTGGCAGCGATTCCCAGGAGCATCACGGCGTAGGAGGTTCGGACGCTGTTGGCGCCGCTGAAGTTGCACAGGGAGGTGCTGCAGCACTTGGTGGAAAAAGCTGCCACCCCGAAGTTCACGTTTGTCTCGGGACAGTCCACGGAGCACTTCTTGGTGATCCGGTGCCCCGCGTCCTTGCCTGGGGGGAGGAGGAGAAAGGAAAGCTGGGATTTGAGGTTCTTCGGGAAGGGGGGGGGGTATTAATTGCAATTAATAACAGCCACCAGGGGAGTTGATGAGTGCTGAGTGGGTATCATGCATGGCACTAAATAGTCCTTGATAGAAACCCACGCCAAGCCGAAATCTCTGGTCTGGGTGACCAGGTGGTGACCAGCCAAAGGTTGGACTCGATCTTGGAGACCTTTTCCAACTAAATGACTGTGGGATTCTGTGCTTCCTGTGGGACAGCAGGAAATCACTGGAGTGCATTTTCCTCTAAATGGTCTCTAAAATGCCACTAAAATGCCTCTAAACCCACATTATTTACATCCAATCCCTTTCCATCCTTCATCCCAGAGCACGTGGGAGAGTTCTCAGTGTCTGCTCCTGAAATCTGTGTGTTCCAGCCACAAGGGTGAGGAGGAACCGGCACGGGTTGCCCAGAAAAGTTGTGGATTCCCCATCCCTGGAAGTGTTCAAGGCCAGGTTGGATGGAGCTTGGAGCAACCTGGGATACTGGAAGGTGTCCCTGCCCATGGGAACCAGATGATCTTGAAGGTCCCTTCCAACCCAAACCATTTTGGGATCACAAAGCACCACTGAGGGATTCACAAATTACGTGTTGTGATCCCTAAACCTCAATCAATTCTTCCCAAAGGACCCCCAAAAAAATCACTGTTTCCCAGGACTAAAATGAAGATTAGGAAAGCCTGGATGTGTTACTGGCACTCACCAAGCCCAGCAGTGCTGTACGTGGTCGTGCAGTACTTCTCATGGTCTTCACACTTGTAGGTTTTAAGGCAGTTCCAGTTGGAATGCTCGTTGTCACATGTGTAGCAAAACAGGGAGGAAGCTGGAAAAAAGCACGTGTGGCACAGATTAGAGGTTTCCAGCCGTTCCCTCTTGGGAAAAAAAGGTGTCAAAACCATATCTTTCCTTGGAAAACTCAAGGTGAAAAGTATGTTGTGAATAAGTGAAAGAAGGGGTTGGTTTTGATTAATGAAGCTGAGGAAGAAAATACAGAGAAGAAAACGAGTTTTCCTCATTGACTTGAGATTTGGGGGGTGATTAAATTTGAAACAACATTTTCCAGCCAGAGCAGCATTCCCAGGTGACCTTTCCTTCTGCCCAGGGGTCCACATTGGCCTGGTTGGAAGCCAAGCTCCAAAAGCAAAGCTCACAACCTGCGAGGAGGAGAAGAACTGGCAAGGAGAGAAGGAACTGGCCCAGTTCTTGGATTGGGAGCTCAATCCCAGGGATTTTCAGGCAACATCTGCAAAAAACACTGCCCAGACACGAATTAATGAATGCCTGTGGCACCCCCAGGGAGCAAAATGACTAAACACAGCCCCACAATAAAGGGAGAGGTCGCTCCGGACAATGGAGAGATTATTCCTATCAGCGCCTGGAACGACGTGTTCCCAGGGATATTCTTAACTCAGCGCTGAGCCAGGGCTATTTCCAAACCAGGAGGAGGTGGGATATGGATTGTTGGGCACAACCCAAGTCAATTGAGTTAGGATTCCAGGTGGCATTTTATGTGAGGAATGTGGGCATGTGTCATCCCATTCCCCGGAGGTGCATTCATTGGGGGAAATTGTTTTCCCACTGCCTGGAGTTCCATGGAATGCTCCTCCTTTTGGGTAAGGGGTGACAAGAGGGAGTTGAGCTGCTCTGGGGAAATGCTGCTCCATCCTTCCCAGCTCTTGGTTGCAGGTGACCCAATTATAAAGCAGGGAGGGTCCTGAACTTCCCCTGGTTTGGTTCCTCCTGCTTTTCTCAGCCCAGCAAGGCTCTAAATTCTGCACAAAATCCCCTCTCAATTAATTCTGGACTTGGTTTTAGCCTCCTGCCAGGGGCTCTCCAAAGCCCAGCTGCTGTTGGTTCAGACTCATCCCTGGAGTTCAATCTGCCCATGAACTTGGTTAGACGACTCCAGAAGCAGTTTTGAAAGAGAATTAAAAGCCAGTTTAGTCCCTGACTATCACAAGCAGGGGGAGAAAAGGCCTCCCCTCTGTGATCTGAGTGCCTTGGGTACAGCTCTGGGTGTCTCAGCACAGGACTGTCCCAGATGCTTCAAGGCCAGGTTGGACTTTGAGCAGCCTGGTCTAGTGAAAGGTGTCCCTGCCCATGGCAGGGGGTTGGAACTGGATGATTTTTAAGGTCCTTTCCATCCCAAACCATTCTATGATTTGATGATTCTCTGCTCTTTTCCAGTCCAGGTGTTGCAAGTTCAGCTGTTCTCCGGACTAGGAGATAAAACCAGCCTTGGTTTTGAACTGAATTGAATCCTGGCTTTAACTCCTCTTTAAATCACTGTTCAGTTTTCCCCGTTTCTCCATCACATGGATATTTTTAGCCTCTTTTCTCTCCTCTGGAGGTTCCCCAACATGAGCTGTGGGCTCCTGTCCTTTGGCAGGCAAAGCAAACCCCAGACCTGCTACTTAGCAAGAATTGATTCCATTTTACAGCCCCTGGAGCTCTCTCTGAGTTCCTTTTGTTGCCAAAGTTGTTCAAACCACTTCCTGCTGCAGAGGAGCCCAAACCCCAGCACGTGTCTGAAAGCAACTGCAATGCACTTGTGCTCACTAAGTGAGGCAAGGAAAACCCCTTCCAGCCAGGAAACAAGAACAGCTTAAACCATTAGAGCTGCTATAAAGCCTTTCCTGCCTCTGGGCTCCACCCTCCAGGAGCTGGAATTTTAGGAAACGCGGCCAGAAATAACCTTAACGGTGCAAAAGGACAAGAGAGCTGTGGATTCCACAATAAACACACTCCCACTTGAGAGTTTGCTCCTCAAACTCAGGAGCAAAGAGCTCTTGGGCTTTCGAAAATCTTGTTTCTTAATTGGGATGTGGCTGTGGGGAGGAGAGTGAAGCTCTGGCAGGAGATGGGGTGTCAAAACCAGCCACACAACCTCCTGTTGACAGCAGCTCCCCCAGTTTCATCCAGGAACAAAAATAAAATCAAAGGCAGGACTCTGAGCTCAGCTTAATTCCTGTGAGCATGTTTGAGTTTGTGCCTGTCTTCAGAGGGGAGGATGTGAGAAACCAGAGGGGGGAGCTCAGTTTTGAGGTACCTGGGCAGAACTCACCCAAAAACTATGATTAAAACACACAAAATATCTCCAGGTAACTCTGCAGAACTCACTCAGAAATCAAGACTCAACCAATCCAAATATCTCCAGGTGCCTCTGCAGAACTCACCCAGAAAAAAGACTAAATCACACAAAATATTCCCAGGTACCTCTGCAGAACTCACCCAGAAACTAAGATTAAACCTCACTAAATATTTCCAGGTACCTCTGCAGAACTCACCCAGAAACTAAGATTAAACCTCACTAAATATTTCCAGGTACCTTGGCATAACTCACCCAGAAAAAAGACTAAATCACACAAAATATTTCCAGGTACCTCTGTAAAACACACAAAAACTAAGACTAAACCACACAAAATATCTCCAGATACCTCTGCAGAACTCACCCAGCAACTAAGACTTAACCACACTAAATATCCCCAGGTACCTCTGCAGAACTCACCCAGAAAAAAAGACTAAATCACACAAAATATTTCCAGGTACCTTTGCAGAACTCACCCAGAAACTAAGATTAAACCACACTAAATATCTCCAGGTGCCTCTGCACAACTCACCCAGAAAAAAGACTAAATCACACAAAATATTTCCAGGTATCTCTGTAAAACTCACCCAGAAACTAAGACTAAACCACCCCAAATATCTCCAGGTGCCTTTGCAGAACTCACCCAGAAACAAAGACTAAACCACCCCAAATATTCCTCGACGTGCCCAATGCAAAACTTCACCCCCAAGACCTCACCAGCTGCACTAAAAGCTGCCAAACCCTCTTGTCCCTGAGTTAACTTGAATTTCTCTCCTGATGTTCCCATTCCCAAAACCCTCTTGTCCCTGAGTTAACCTGGATTTCTCTTCTGATGTTCCCATTCCCATCCTGGTTCTCCCAAAAACCTCCCAAGCTCCTTACCTGGCTGGGCACACAGGACGACCGCCAGCAGGGCAACCAGAAAAGCCTTCATGGTTGAAGGAGAGCCCTCAGAGCCCCAAAGGTGTGGGATGGGGCACCACAAGAAGGTTTTATACCGGGACTGAGTTGTCTTTTCCTTCCCTTGATTGCAGTAATTTGAGGGTTGGGGAGTGACAGCACCCAAGGTGTGATCAGGGCTGGGTGTGTTCGTGCGTAGGAACCTGTTACAAAGCTGCAGGGGTAGAGGTGTTTTCTTCCATCTCATCTCCAGATCCAATCTTTTTTTTTTTTTTTCCCCCCGCTGACCTTGCCTGCTTTGCTAATTTGGGGAGCAATTTATCTGATTCCAAGGCGGGACTCCCTTCTCGGGCTTGAACCGCGAAACCCGGAGCCGGGTCGTCTGGAATCCTCCATCCTTCCTCTCTGCCATGGAATGGGAGCTGAATATTTGTGGGAAGTGGGAGAGGAGATTTTGTTTTGCTGGTTTGTCCACAACCACCCAGATTTCTCTCGCTTGCCCAAAGAAACTTCAAACAGAAATCAGCGGTGACCACAGAATCGGGGGAAGGTTTGGGTTGGAAGGGACCTCAAAGCTCACCCAGTTCCAACCCTGATGCCACTCTTTGTGCCTGGAGGTTGTCCCTCCGAGGCTCCCGTGCTCCAGGCAGGGATGGGGACTGATGTTCTTGTTTTGTTCTGCTCCCCTGTCCTCCAGAACCATCTGGGGTTTCCAAGCAACAATGTTTGTTGTTACCTGTCAACCAGCTCTGGGCTCTGTCAGGTTTTTCCAGTCCCTCGTGACCTCTCCAATCTTTCTGGGCTCCCTCCTTCTGCTCCCACAACACCTCTTGGCAGATGACTCAGGATGCAGAAGAGGGACATGGAAACATCGTGGAAACACCTGCAGGAGTTCAGCTGTGGAATGGGAGTGAAAAAGACTGAGAAATAAAACAAGTCCTGGTCAAGGAGACACCTCAACAGGACCTTTGGTCTTTAGAGAGAGAAAGGACCAAGGGAAGCTCAAAGTAAAGGGTTGTAAGGTCACAAATGGGGTGGAAACAGAATAAAGAACATCCAGTTGCTCTTTGAGTCCCCAGATTGCTCATCAAATCACAGATTATCCTGAGCTGGGAGAGACCCATCGAGCCCAGCTCCTGGCCCTGCACAGGACAACCCAAAAAGTCCCACCACGTGCCTCAGAGTGTTGGCCAAACACTTCAACTCTGGCAGGGTTGGTTCCGTGATCACTTCCCTGGGGAGCCCAGAAACCAACTCCCCAAGAGTCTCTGATCACCTTCCTGCAGGATCCTGGGCAGCTGGACCCATTCCCAACCCCTGGGATGAGTCTTTTCCTTCCGGTCATTCCTCCTTTTGCCCAGTTCCTCCTTTCCTGCAGCAGTTTTAACCCTCAGTGGTTTCTGTCTCCGTGTCCAGAGAAGGTTGGAGGGGATGAACATCCTCTTTGCCAAGTTTTCCACTCTGTTCTCTGACCTTGAACACGAATCTTTAACTCCCCTTTTAGCCAGGATGTGAAAGACCCACGGGACAGATAATGTGGCAACAATATTTCAGAAATAATCTGTGAAAAAAAAACCCAAAATATCCTTTCCAAACAAGATTCCTTATAAATACAACATCAGGCTGGAAAAATGCTGGAGCACGGAGGGAAAGAGGGGGTATTAATCTACATGTTTGTTTTATTTATAATACCAGGGTTGTCTCAGGCAGCTGGGTAAATGGAAAATGGGACTTTCTACACTTTCTACTCTTCCATCCCATCAAAAAACCCCAAATGAAAATGAATTATCCCACAAAATCCGGCTCATCGTGGAGCAAATCGAGCAGAAAAATGCAGCTCCTCAGCAGGAGTGAAGCCCAAACACAGCCCAAGACAGGAGAGGAGAGGAAAGGCTTGGAAATGAAAGCAAATAAATGAACAGTAAATAAATGAGGCTGTTAAAGCAAAGTGCAGCTGAACAGAAAAATCTGCAAGTGAGAAATTGGGCCGGAGGAAGTGGAAATGTGAGAAAGCATTTAAATAGATTAGAGAAAAGGGGAGGTTAATAATAATAAACAAGATGAATATTTCACCCGGACAAGAGAGAAGGAGGGAGGGAGGGTGAGGAAATATTGGTGCAAAGCAAAATAAATCAAAGCAAACACAGAAAGTTGGAGAGGAAATAATTAAACACAAGAAAATGAGGGTCAGAAATAAGATGGGAATGAGATTCACTGTTGTTCCTGTGGTGGCATCATTCAATGCTGTGCAAAATGTACATTTTGTTATGTGCAGATACTCTTTAAGTATTTAAATCAGTTTTTTAAGGTTCTGGGGGTTGCAGAATTCCCCAAATCCCAGTTTAACCAGCCACTGGAGCCAAAGCAAACACACAAAGTTGGGGGGGAAATAATTAAACACAAGAAAAGCGAGGGTAAGAACTAAGATGGGAATGGGATTCACTGTTGTTCCTGTGGTGGCAACACTCAGTGCTGTGAAAAATGGACATTTTGTTATGTGCAGACACTGTTTAGGTGTTAAAAACAGTTCTTCAGGGGCCTGGGAAGGGTGGAACTCCCAAAAATCTCAGTTTAACCAGCCACTGGAATCAAAGCAAACCCACAGAGCTGGGGGGGAAATAATTAAACACAAGAAAAGTGAGGGTAAGAAATAAGATGGGAATGGGGATTCATCGTTGCTCCTGTGGTGGCAACACTCAGTGCTGTGAAAAATGGATATTTTGTTATGTGCAGACACTGTTTAGGTGTTAAAATCAGTTCTTTAAGATTCTGGGGGGTTGTACAATTCCCCAAATCCCAGTTTAACCAGCCACTGGAGCCAAAGCAAACACACAAAGATGGGGGGGAGGAAATAATTAAACACAAGAAAAGCGAGGGTAAGAAATAAGATGGGAATGGGATTCAGTGTCGTTCCTGTGGTGGCAACACTCAGTGCTGTGAAAAATGGACACCTTGTTATGTGCAGACACTGTTTAGGTGTTAAAAACAGTTCTTCAAGGGTCTGGAGAGGTGGGGAGATCCCGAAATCCCAGTTTAACCAGCCACTAGAATCAAAGCAAACACACAAAGTTGGGGGAGAAACAAACACAAAGTAAGGGTAAGAAATAAGATGGGAGGGGTTTCACTGTTGTTCCTGTGGTGGCATCACTCAGTGCTGTGAAAATTGTACCTCTTGTTATGTGCAGACACTGTTTAGGTGTTAAAATCAGTGCTTTAAGATTCTGGGGGGTTTTACAATTCCCCAAATCCCAGTTTAACCAGCCACTGGAGCCAAAGCAAACACACAAAGTGAGGGTCAGAAATAAGATGGGAATGGGATTCACTGTTGCTCCTGTGGTGGCATCAGTCAGTGCTGTGTAAAATGGACACCTTGTTATGTGCAGACACTGTTTAAGTATTTAAATCAGTTTTTTAAGGTTCTGGGGGTTGCAGAATTCCCCAAATCCCAGTTTAACCAGCCACTGGAGCCAAAGCAAACACACAAAGTTGGGGGAGAAACAAACACAAAGTGAGGGGAAGAACTAAGATGGGATGGACTTCTCTGTTGCTCCTGTGCTGGTATCACTCAGCACTGTGCAAAATGTACATTTTGTTATGTGCAGACACTGTTTAAGTATCATAATCAGTTCTTCAAGGTTCTAGGGGGTTATACAATTCCCCAAATCCCAGTTTAACCAGCCACTGGAGCCAAAGCAAACACACAAAGTGAGGGTCAGAAATAAGATGGGAATGGGATTCACTGTTGTTCCCGTGGTGGCAACACTCTGTGCTGTGAAAAATGGACATTTTGTTATGTGCAGACACTGTTTAGGTGTTAAAAACAGTTCTTCAGGGGCCTGGGAAGGGTGGAACTCCCAAAAATCTCAGTTTAACCAACCACTGGAGCCAAAGCAAACACACAAAGTTGGGGGGGAAATAATTAAACAAGGAAAGTGAGGGTCAGAAATAAGATGGGAATGGGATTCAGTGTCGTTCCTGTGGTGGCATCACTCAGTGCTGCGAAAAATATTACCTCTTGTTATGTGCAGACACTTTAAGTATTAAAATCAGTTCTTTAAGGTTCGAGGGGGGTGTAGAATTCCCCAAATCCTGGTTTAACCAGCTGCTGGAACCAAAGAAACCACGCAAAGTGAGGGTCAGAAATAAGATGGGAATGGGATTCACCGTTGCTCCTGTGGTGGCATCACTCAGTGCTGTGAAAAATGTACCTCTTGTTATGTGCAGACACTGTTCAGGTGTCAAAAACAGTTCTTCAGGGGCCTGGGGAGGTGTAGAACTCCCAAAATCCCAGTTTAACCAGCCCCTGGGGGAGCTCCTGTGCGACCTGGCTGGTGAAAGCATCAGGGGCATCACTTGGCCTCCATCCCTGTGTCCCTGCAGGACACTGTCAAAACTTTGGGAGCCAGACTGGGGGCTGGCAATGTCCCAAAGCCACAGTACTATTCTGGGGCACTGTTGCTATTGCAGTCACACCCAGGGCCACTGCAAGGTCTCCACCAGCACCGTGGTGGTGCCTCTGGAAGCAGAGAACAGCCCGGTTTTTCCAAGCAAAGGGGTGGAGAGAGCTGGAAGAAAATCCAGGGCAAAGCCAACTGAGGGAGTGGGAGGGCAGATGGTGCCAGGAGAACACGGAGGGGAGGTGTTAAAACATTTCCCAGGGACATAAAAAAAGGAGAGGGGAGGGAGGGGAGGGGGCGAATCTCGCAGCAGAAACTGGGCCGGGCGGGTGTCACGAGGGGGATCGGGGAGTTAACAGAGCCTGGGAGTTTGGAGAAAGGAAAACCTTCACCCACTTGGAGCTTGGCAGCCAATAGGGTGTGTTTGTGCCAGACCTTGGCAGTGGGTTGTGCAAGGCCAGTCCTTTTTGTGTAACTGGAGTCGCACAAAGCGTGTTTTCAACCCATGATGGAGCAAGTGCCAGATCCAGGGACGTTTAAATGTCAGCTCTCCCCACTTTCTTCCCTTTTTTGTTTTCCCTGTCTGGAGGGTGGCTGTGACCTCAGATCTCCTCCCTGGTGCAGAGGGGAAGCTCTGTTTCAGCTCAGGGTGGTCAGGGGGAGTTCAGGAGGGGAACAAAGAGGCCGTGGGACAAGTTGAGGAGGTTCCAGGCGTGGATGGTGCTCCCCGTCTCCCTGAGTCATGCAGATGGGGCACAGAGGGCAGGAGGGCCAGCCTGGCTCCTGACAACACCAGGCTGACCTGGGCACATCCTCTCCTCCTTCCTTGGAGGGTCAGGGAAGGCTGAATTGCTTCATTTGGATGTGCAATGACAACAGGGTTTGGTGAAGGAGAACAGGGAAATTGGGGGATTCAGAAATACCAGGAAAAAAAAAAGGAAGACCCCAGTGGGACATTTTGGAAAACCACCTGAGGCCTGTTGCAGGCAGTTGCTCTGTTCACCCCTTGCCAAAACACAACTGGGTTTGTAGCTGTTCTGGGAGGCTCCAGACAGCAGGACAGAGCTCCTCAGGTCACTCCAACAGCAGAATGACCAAGTTAGGAAGGATTGGAAGAGCCCAAATCCGCCAAATCTGGCTGAAATACCAGGGGGATCCATGCTGGCTTCAAGGCCAGGTCGGGTGGAGCTTGGAGCAACCTCATCTAGTGCTTGGCAACCCCGGCCATGGAGGGGGGAATGGAACAGGATGGTGTCTAAGGCCCCTTCCAACCCAAACCATTCCATGATTCCATGTTGCTGTGGCTTCCACGGCAGTTGTGACAGCCACCAGGAGCTTTGATATCGATATTGAGTCCTTTGGAGCCTCAGCCAAAGCCATTTTGTCACATTCCCTTAAACTCCAAGGTCCTAAGGGGTGTTCCAGTCCCCATTTCCAGTCCCATGAGCTCGGAGATATCAACCAGCACCATCACACCCGGAGCCAACCCCCCGTGATTCCCAACCCCACCAAAGTCCTGATGGAAGGGCCAGGCCCAGCCCAGCTCCCCAGACAGGGCCCAAGCCCAGCCCAGACGCCATCTGTGCCATCAAGGGCATCCATCAGACATGGCTTGGGCACACCCCAAACAGCATCACCCTGCCCAGGGCCCTCACACGGGGGATGGAACCACCCTGCTTGGAGAGGGAAGAGCTGGAGAGTCAGGGGGGTGAATCATCCTTCTTGCATCCAGGGCCAAGGCTTGTTGTTCTGGATCCTGGTGTTTTCTCTCTTTTCTCCCCTCTCACATCACCATCCCACAACCTTGCAGGCCTCAGTCCTACAAGGAAAGATCCCATGGGATGGTTCAAACTGGTGGATCCCAGTGCTTTCCCTCTTTTCTCCCCTCTCACATCACCATCCCACAACCTTGCAGGCCTCGGTCCTACAAGGAAAGATCCCATGGGATGGTTCAAACCAGAACAACAAGCCTGGAGACCTGCAGGGTCTGAGAGGATGGTGGGGAGGGGGAAGAAGAGGCAAGATAGAAACCTCAGTGCCCTCTTGGAATTCCCCCAAATATTTAACCCCAGTCCTCCCCGAGGAGGACACCGCTTGCTACAACTCTATCTGGGGAGAAATAATACTGCTTGGTTGATAATTCTTGTTGTTTTTTCCACTGGAAGTGGGAATTTCCCCTTGTTGCAGGCCCAGCCCTCCTGATCCTCTTTCATAACATGAGCAGTCAACGTGAGGACACTGGAATGGGACCATCCCCTCCACCACGAGACCTCACAGGTCCTGACAGGAGAGGCTCTGATGTCTCTTGGGAAATCTTGGCCTGTGAGAGGCATCTCAAGCCCGCCAGGAAAAATATTTACAACAACACCTCCAAGAACCTCGTGAAGGAAGGTTTTGGCCCAACCTTTTGAGGAAGAAGAGTGGGTGACAGCTCTTGTGTTTGTCTTCACAACTGTCTCAGTGATCACTGGGGGCAGGGAGGGGGGGTTGTGTTTGTTTTGTGGGTGTTTTTAGAATAAATTTGAAGATCCTGGAGCTGCAGGGTGGTGGAGAGAGTAGGCATTTGAACCTGCCAGGCCAGTGATACGTGAAAATCATCCATGACACAGCTATGGTGGCATCAGGCTTTGTGGGAGCTCTCCATGGAGCCTCCAAGACAACCCTGAGTCTTCTCATCCATTTTGCTTCCATCAGAACCACAATTTTCCAGGTCTACCCATTTTTATGTGCTTTGGGTTCTGGACTCGCCTCTCCCGTGATGGGCCTGAAAATGATCCTCAGCACTGACACCCAAGAGCTGAAATTCCCAAGGATGAGGGAAAGTTGAGAAGAAAAGGAGATAAATAAGTTTTTCTCTCTGTGGAAAAAAGTTGTGAGGAGCTCCATGGACAACCTTTGTACTCTTCACAGCATCACAGAATGGTTTGGGTTGGAAGGATTCCTAAGGATTGTGGAATTCCAACCTGCCTGCCACGGGTAGGGACACCTTCCACTGTCCCAGGATGCTCCAACCTGGCCTTGAACACTTCCAGGGATGGGGCAGCCACAGCTTCTCTGGGAATTCTATTCCAGTACCTCACCACCCTCCTAAGGAGGAATTTCTTCCCAATATCTCTTCTAATCCCATTCTTTTTCAATTTCAATCCATTCCCTGTTGTGCTATCACTACCCTTAATTCATTTTAGCTTCTCTGCATCTGTTTTTTGTGGTTTTTTTTTTCACAAGAGGGTCCCAACTGAGAGTGGGAAAACCCAACGAGAGCGGGAAAAACTCGTGGGAAGATCGGGATGCTCCGGTTTCTCTCCTGCCCTGCTCCTGCTGACCCAGCCAGGCATGGTGAGAACAAGAGCTTGGGCCAGCCCTTGTTACGTCTCGAAACTGGTCCCACCTCGTGTAATAGCCCTGCTGAAACCTCCAGCAGTGCCCAGGCAGGGCCAGGAGAGCAGGGCCTGTCCCCTGGGAGAGCCCACGCTGGCTCAGGGGCAGGAGCAAGGAAACATCCTTGGCTGAAACCATTCCAGGAGCAAGGAAACATCCTTGGCTGAAACCATTCCAAGAGTAGGGAAACATCCTGGCTGAAACCATTCCAGGAGAAGGGAAACATCCTTGGCTGAAACCATTCCAGGAGCAGAGAAACAACCTGGCTGAAACCTTCTCAGGCTGATGGGTGTGTTCTCCAGGGCCCAGGAACAAACAGAGCCCTATCTGAGATCACAATCAAATCCCTCACTGGGAGGGCACCTGGGCATTTTCCCAGCAGGATTGGCCAAAAATTCCTGGCTGTGTGTTGCTTGGGTTTGGGGTTTTTTTTAAATTATTGTTGCTTTGGAAGATCAGGGAATGATTTGGTGCTGGTGGGAAGGTAGAAGGTGGGAAAGGCTTTGTGCCACCTCAGGAGCATCTCTGCAAACTCCAGCTGGGCTTGGATTCTCCCACCCCATTCCCAGCCACTCGTGGGGTATGGGGAGAGCAGCTCCACTGGCAGAGCATCCCCCTTGATCCCAAAATCACAAACAAGGGCTTGTAAAGCTCCTGGATGGCAGCCACAGGAACCCAAAGCCACCCACGCCAAACCAGGGAGAAAAATAGGAAGGTGAAAAAGCCATCCTGGGTTTCCAGGCACCCCAAGGAAAGGGTGTGGGAGGAATGACTCGTCCCATCTCCATTTTGGACATGGTGAACCAGGCTTTGACTCACCCCCAACTTGTTAAACCGTCAGAAAAGGGACAACCATGTCTTGGAGGGACTTTAGGATGTTCCAGCAAAGGTTTGCAGAGCCTTAAAATTACTGGGTTTTAAGCCTGAGTGAGGAGTGATGTGTCCAAAGTCACAGGCCTGGGAGAGCGGTGGCCTTGGCTCCTCAGCCTCCCTCCAGCTCTGCTTTGCAACCCAACTGCTGCTTGAGCAAGGAAACAGGATCTCTGGTGGAAAAAGAGGTCCATGAAGCTTTCTTTTCTCTGCAAGCAAAGCCCGGAGGTGTCCCCTTCTCCCATTTCTGGGCTGTAAACACGGTGTTTGGCATCAGGGCCTGGTTTTGCTCTCAGCCACCCTCTCCTGCCTTCCCACGTGGAAGAAAACTCACTTTTGTAGGGAGATGGGGTGAAGGAAGTGCCAACAGAAAGGAATTTGGGATGGGCTCGGCACCAGGAGACCAAAAGCTCATCCTGTGTCCTCCAGGCATAGATTTCCCAGCAGACATGGTGGGTGTCTCTTCTCCTCGACATCCATAGCACCGAGAAGTGCCTCTGGTGTCACTTCCACAGCCAAAACCCAGCCATGACATCTCTGGTGCCCTCATCCTGCTGGTGGGATGAGTCCCGACCACTCACTCTGATCCACCTCATTCCCCTGTGGAAGGAGGAGGATTCAGGGTCATCCAAGCGTTCCCTGCATGGGCTGGAGTCAGGCATTGCTTCCTTTGGGTTCCTCCTGCCGGCTGTACCACCCAGTGGGGTCCTGGCCAGACCCACAGAGAGCTCTGACACAAAAAAGAGCTGTGAAGCCACTTCCACACCAATAAATAAGTCAAAGACTCGGCACATTCCCCTCTCAGCACTCTCCCATGCCAAGAAACACTTCCCAATCCATGCCCAGGAACAGCCCATGGACCATTTGGGTGTGACCACCCTGTTTTGGGGATGGAAAGGGTGTCACAAACAGGTCACACCATGTGTCCTCATGGCTGGGGGACACCCCTTGCCCTGTTTTCTCTGTGTGGGTGGAGCCTTTTCTCTGTAGGATTTCACATCAGGATCTTGCTTCACCCTTTTGCTTCTTCCCAGTTCCTGTGGGGCAGAATTTAGGGAGGAGGATTTGGGGTGGAGGTGCTGCTCTGACAGTCCCCAACCCAGCTCCCTCTTGCTCCAGAGAAGAGGAAGGACCAGTTCAGGAATGCCTGGGAGATGCTGAGCGATCCCTCCTGCCGGTTTCCTTGGAAGCAGGGCAGCATCTCCAGGGAGCTCTGCCACCAAACCTTGGTGACTGTGGCTATTTTGGGAAATGAAATATGGTCAGGCGCAGAAAATCACCCAGCTCTGCTCTCCCTGAGCCCTTCAGCCCCACAGCAGCAGCAAACCTTGGGAAGAGCATCTGAATCCAGACACATCCACCCCGGGAGCGAGGACCACGTGCCAAGGGAAAGCTTTGAACCCCTCCAAGCACAGGGAAAAAAGCAGCTTTTAAACTGAAAGAGGAGAGGTTTGGATTAGATATTAGGAAGGAATTCT